GGAACAAGCAACTGGGGATTTGTTGGAGGGGTCTCAAAGGATTCATTGTTGGGGGAGGGGGTGAAGGGGCTCTAGGAGAAACCAACTGGGGTTATTGGGGGTGGGGAAGAATCTGGGAGGAAGCAACTGGGGCTGATTTCCATTGGAAGTTTTTAACCCAGGTGGGTACTGGCAGTCCTGAGGCCAGCGCAAATGCAGCTTACCAAACGCTAGTAACCATGTTATTCTTCCCCTGCAGGTGTCGGTGCTGGTGATGTGCCACACGCGGGAGCTGGCATTCCAGATCAGCAAAGAATACGAACGCTTCTCCAAGTACATGCCCAGCGTAAAGGTGAGGGGCCTATGCCTGGGGATGAGGGAGGGGGGATGTTAGCAGGGCAACGAACACAGCCTTTCACTGCCCCCCCCTCCCGTTCCCTTGCAGGTGGCAGTGTTTTTTGGGGGCCTGTCCATCAAGAAGGACGAGGAGGTGCTGAAGAAGAACTGCCCGCACATTGTGGTGGGGACTCCGGGCCGGATCCTGGCCCTGGCGCGGAACAAGAGCCTCAACCTCAAACACATCAAGCATTTCATCCTGGACGAGTGTGACAAGATGCTGGAGCAACTCGGTGAGTTGCTGGGGGTGCTACCTGGCTTCCACCCCTAGAAAAGGGGTGCCCTTCCAGGGGGCAGCAAGATTTTTTTTTTTTTTTCTTTTCTGTGGGAGGCAGTCCTCAGTCACTTGGGGTGTTCTGGCTTCTGATGTCACAGCTTGTGGTAAGGTGCCCCCCACTGCCCAAAAGGTGGAGGGCATTTTCTCACATGCTTCCAGATAGGTCGCTCCTTGTTTTTGAAAGTGTTGGAGGGATGTCACAGCCCTGAACAGCCTAAAGATGTGACACAAGAGGCAAGGCTGTCTTAGGGCAGTTTGTTTTTTATTGCAGTGGTTATGGCTCTGCGTGATCAGAGACCCAACAAAGGATGCTTTGCTTTCAAAAGCTTGTCTTAAGTCTATTCTAGTTGGTCCAATAAGAACTTTCTTAGCGTGAGCTATCTTGTCATTTTGGGACCGTCACTGCTACAACAACAATCTGATGCTAGCAGAAACCTGAGAGAGAATGTCTTAGTCTTGTGTTCAGAAGCTCATCTAACTCATTTGGTCCAGGGAGCAAGAACTTTAGCTTTGATGTAATTAGTGGACTTTTTCAGCACTGCCTGAATAGAGAAACCACTACAGCTGCCCCCCACCTCCCAGACTTTTCCACAGAGGCAGGATTTACTGGGATCCCTTCCCTTTCAGAACCCTCCCACAGTGCTGTTTGTTTGGGCGGTCCTCTCTCTTGGTTCAGCTGGGGGAGATCCCATGGGGGTGGTGGGGTGGGTAGAGCCATGTGTGGTGGGGAGGTAGTGGCAAAAGCTGCTGGGCCCGAGGAAAAGGCATCTGAGCAGTGCAGTTTTCAAATACCTTGAGGGCTGCTGTGAGGAAGAAGGAAAGCCCCCCCTCCCCCTGTGCTACAGAGAGGAGAATATGGAACTAATGGCTTGAAATTATGGCCAAAGAGGCTTAGGTTGGATAGCGGGTGATATTTTTTCACTTAGAGCCATGAGGTAGGGGAATTTGACACCCAGAGAGGCTGTGGGCTCTTCAGCAGGGGGGGTGTACAAGAAGAACACTTGTTGGGGGGTGATCTAGGCTTAGAGGTACCTGTGTCCTGCCGTGGAGATTTCCTAGGCTTCTGGGACGTGAAGGTGGGAGGGAAGCTTTCCCCCCCTTGTTGCTACGTGTCAGAGGGTTTTTAAGCTGCTCTCAAAGACACTGGGTGTTGATTGCAGCCCAGGCTGGGGATGGTGACCAGGCTGGACCTATGCTGGGACTTAAAGGTGGAGAGTCCTGGCTAGAGGGCCTTGCCTCGCTACTCAGAGCCATACTGATGCTGCATTGGTCAGACTAGTACTGATGAGGGTGCAGGAGGGGTTGACTTCCTCTAGTGTGGGGTCTAGCTTCTGCTTGGGATTTCTTGTCTGGGATGGTTTGGACCCGGCTGATCCTGCCTCAGGATGTGACCTTTGGAGGCTTCCTTTATCTCAGCTTGTCTGACCTTTTGGAGGGTCCTTCTAGCCCAACTTCTTTATGGTCATGACTGGCCTCTGGAGGTTCCTACCAGTCCCTCTTTTCTATGACTATGATTCTGCGATATTTGGAGATTCCTTCTGTCCTGACTTACCTGTGATTCTGTGAGCTGGTCTTTGGGGCCACAAGGTTGAGCACTGTTGGTATGGTCATTGGACTTGAACAGCACTGCCTGAATAGAAATGTCCCATCAACTGCACCCTCTGGTTCTGCCCACAGGGGGCAAGATTTGCTGGGGTTTCTCAGCTCCCCACCCCCTTGTTGTGGGGGTTCCCTCTGACCCCCTCCCAATTCTCTGCCCCCCTTCCAGATATGCGCCGGGATGTCCAGGAGATCTTCCGCATGACCCCGCATGAAAAGCAGGTCATGATGTTCAGCGCCACCCTGAGCAAGGAAATCCGCCCCGTGTGCCGCAAATTCATGCAAGACGTAATTACCACCCCCCCTCTCTTCTTCCTTCTCTGCCCCCTCAGCCCCCTGCCACTCCATCCAGGGGGGGTGCTGGGGTTCTCCTCCTCCGTCAGCCAGCACCGCCGGGACCCGCCGTCCCGCCCTGCACCGCTCTCTAGCTCAGGCCACCCCCGTAGCCTCCGGAAGATCTCTCGGGTCATGCTAGCCCCTCTCCCCCTCCAGCCCCAGCTCGAGTAGGGGACCCCCCCCTCTTCTTCCTTCGAGGGGGGGTTGCCTCCCTCCGGCCCTGTCACCGCAAGCATCTGGACCCTCACCCCCAGGCAAGTAAGCGTTGGACTTACCTTTTCACACCCGCACATCTCTATCACGGCCGCAAATTGGGCCCCTTAAGATCCTCCCTTCCCCTCCCCCACAACGGCCCCCCCGTTCCCCTGCCCCCCTCCGGAGACCGCGGCGTCCCCCCGCTCCGTGTGGCGAAGACAGTCAGCGAGATGGAGATGGCATGGCGGCCCGTGGCGGTGACTTCCGGAGGGACCCACGGCGGCACCCGGAGCCAGATTATCCTTTTTGTGGCGGCCGGGCTGGGATTTTGGTGGGGGGCTGGTGGGGAAGTTTTGGGGGAGGGTCTAGGAGGAGTAGCTGACTCCCTGAAGTGGGCAGCAGAGGGTTAAACCCCCCTCCTGGTGGGTGGGAAACAGGTTTAATCCCATTCCTGGGGAGGGCTGGTGATACATGGGCATGGCAATAGCCACGCCTCCTCCAAGATGGCCGCTTAGCTCCCTTGGGAGTAGTGGAGCTGCACCTGGTGCGTGCTGGGATGTAGCCAGCAACCTTGATGTAGCTTGTGTGAGCTGTGAGGGATGCTCAGTGTCTGCTACTGGCTGCACTGCCTTAACTTCTATGGCTAGGTGCTGCAGAGCATTCTGGGATCTCTTGTTTCCCCTTAAGGGAAAACCAGGGAGGAATGGTCCCTCTCCTCTCTTCCAAGCATGCCTTGCATCTAGGCTTTTTGTGGGGGATGTTAGTGTGTGTAGCAAGGTGAGGGACTTGGGTCTTTGAGGGTGCCCTCAGTAGTTGGGAGGGTGTGGCTTCTGTTCCAGAATGTCTGGGGGGAGGCTGAAGTGGGCGTTTGAAGACTCCAGGCCTGGGGGGAGTGTATGGGAGTGTGAGCGGGGCCCTGACCCCGCTGTGCCCCCCTCAGCCCATGGAGATCTTCGTGGATGATGAGACGAAGCTGACACTGCATGGGCTGCAGCAGTACTATGTCAAACTGAAGGACAATGAGAAGAACCGCAAGCTCTTCGATCTCCTCGACGTCCTTGAATTCAACCAGGTGAGGACCCAGGCATCCAGAGAGGACTTGCCTGGGCCATAGCCCCTGGGGCAGTGCTGTGAGGTCTGGGTCTGAAGAGAGGGGATGGGACCCAGGCAGCTATAGAATTCACTCAGCTCTAGAGGGAAGGACTGGGACCCAGGTATCTGGGGAGCTTTGTATGCCCACACCTGCCAAGGGCAGTGTCAGCACTCATGGGGAAGGGGGACCTAGGTGTCCGGGTGGCATCCCCAGGCCTTCTATGGCAGGGACCAGGACCCAAGCCTTTGGGGCAACTTCTCCCTGGACTCTGCAGTCCTGTCAGCTCCCAGGGAGAGCAGCAGCAGGGGAGCCAGGCCTGCTGGAACCCCTCAGCTGCCAGGCTGGGGTTGGGGCCCAGGCATCTGAATCCTGGTTTATTTTTTCCCCCACCTCCCACAGGTGGTGATCTTCGTGAAGTCCGTGCAACGCTGCATTGCCCTAGCACAGCTGCTGGTGGAGCAGAACTTCCCAGCCATTGCCATCCACCGCGGCATGCCCCAGGAGGAGAGGTGGGTTTTGGGTCAGGTGGATACACAAGCCCCCAGCTTTGACTTCCCTTTTCCCAGCAGCAGGGGCCTCTTCTGTTCAGCTGAGGAGGTAGCTTACTTTTAACCCTGGCTCCAGAGACCCTTACCCTTTCCTTTTTTGTTGCGGGTTGACATCTGCTAATTAAGGCTGCAGACATGCAGAGCATAATATTTGCCATTTTGTTGGTCAGTCCATAGGTCTGTTTTTGTTCAGACCCCTGTCACATGGCAGCTGAGCGGGAGAGTGAACCACTATGACCCGGGTGCATTTTTTACCACTGTTCCTTGGAGCCAGACCTGAGAGCAATCCCACTGTCAGACACCTGGAATCCCAACCCCTCCTGCCCCCAGAGCCAGGCCTCAGCAAGTCTCCCCAGATGTCTGGGTCCCTTTCAGCCTTCAAATCCAGGAAGTCCTCATTCAGAGGCTGTGCCCCTTGCTCCTATGCTCAACTGCTACTGAAACCTGTTTTTCCAAGCATATTTCCAATCCTTTTTGGGAATCTGGCTGAACTCGGCTTCTACCACATCTGGTGGCAGAGTCCCACCCTTTAATGACCCGCTGGATGAAAAACTTCCTCATGTTCATTTTTTAAACTCACTACCTACTAGGTTAATTTTATGACCCTGAGTCTTACTGTGAGAGACAGTCTATAACAAATCCCTATCTACTTTCTCTTTGCTACTTCAGTATTTTGAGAACCCTTCTCATGTTTCCCCTCAAGAGTCTCCTTCCTAAACTGACTAGGCCTGGCCTCGTTAGTCTCTCCCCATCTGGAGGCCCTGCACTCGGCATCCTTGCTACTCTTCTCTGGACCGTTTTCTAGTCCTATAGAAGTGTAGGAACCAGAGCTGGGCATAGTATTTAAGGTGTGGACACCTCATGGGCTTACAAAGCGGCATGATGATGCTTTCAGTTGTGCTGACAACTTAATTCTTTATAATGTCTAACATTGTGTTTGCCTTTGGCAGTTGAGCACAGAGCTGATGCTTTTAGTTTACTGTCCCCACTGACTCCCAGATGTTTCCTGAGTGGTAACAGCCATCCTAGTGTAGGTATAGTTTGAGCTATTTTTGCCCAGGGAGAACTTCTACCAAGAGAGAGTACTGGAGAGAATTAACCCAGACCCCTGTGTAAAGATGTCCCAGTGCTGAGGTCCATAAGAGTGGAGAGCTAGCAGTGACACTATAGCTGGCTTGGGGTACCCTGTGCACCTATCACAGTGTGTATTGTGGAGTCTCTTAGGCTAGCTGGTGACAGATGGCAGCTGTACATAAGATGGCCCTGATTGGCTGCCTGTGGCCAACCTGTTTCCCTGCAGTGCAGTACGAAAGGTGTGAAGGGGGCATGTGCTGCTCCCAGCTGGAGCAGCAGAGACCAGTAAATTACGCAGTCTCCCTAGGGAGCAGGTGAATACTGGAGGACTATGTCCTCTCCTGAGAGAAGCCATGGCATGTACAAGCATTTATTCTCCCAGGAGAAACTTTTCCTGGGAGTGATTTCTTTCTCCCAAGAGAAACACCAGGAGTTGAATCACTTCCCAAAGAAACTCTCTTGGGAATGATTCATTTCTCCGAGGAGGAAGAGGATTATATCACTCTCAGTAGAAACTCTCCCAGAAGTGATTTAGCCCATTATTCCCAGGTAACCTTTTTTTCCTGGAGCCCTCTCTTTTCTTCTCTTTTTTTGTTTTGTTTTCTCCTGGGGGGGAAATCTGAACACTTGGGTACTGGGAGAGCAGTGACTTTTCTGGGAGAAACTGTACATACGATGTCTAAGCTAGCCTTACTGCAGTAGTGTTGCTGTCTGGCAGCTGTTCCTGGGTGTCCCCCAAGGAGCATGGGGGAGGGGGATTGTGGGCTCCCCTGTGGAGCATGGGATGGGGAGGGGCAATAGGTCTCTGGATCCATCTCCAGCAGCAGCTAGAGTTTCAGCTTAAGTTAAGCAGGAAAGTGAGGATGAGTGAGCAGAAGATTGGGCTTCTGCTCTTGGCAGCTGTAATGGTGGTGGTGGGGGGTGGGGGTTGGCAGATATTCAGCACTGACTCCCACCCCTTTGCCCCTCCTCTCCAGGCTGTCACGGTACCAGCAGTTCAAGGACTTCCAGCGTCGCATCTTGGTAGCCACCAACTTGTTTGGGCGGGGGATGGACATTGAGCGCGTGAACATCGCCTTCAACTACGACATGCCCGAGGATTCGGACACCTATCTGCACCGGGTGCGCCTGGATGCTGGGGTTCCATGGGGTGGGGGAAGGGTGGTAGGTGGGCGGCAGGCAGGGCTCTTTGTGGGGAGGAAGAGTTGGAAGCTTGGGTGCTGAGCAGAAGGGAGAGTCGAGAGCTTGGATGCTGGGATTCTACCTCTACTCTGCAAGGGGAGTGAATGAAGGGTGAGCAGGGAGCCAGGGCACCTGGGTTCTTCCCCTGTTCTGGAAAGGGATTTATGGTGGCGGGGTTAGAGGAAGGGGACTAGAAACTCGGATATGTGGGTGCTCTTCCTGGTAGGGGAGCGGGGCTGGGAGCCTGGATCCCTGAATCCTCTGGCAGAGTGGTGTCTGGGGTGGGGAGGGCTAGAGCTTGGGGAGCTGTGAGCCTGGACTCCTGGGTTCTTTCCCAGCTGTGAGAGGGGAGAGGAGGCTGGGGGAGGTGGTTAGTTGGTGGGGAGCTGGGAGCCTGGATTTGCCTAGGTTCTCCAAATCAGAGGGGGTGGATTAGATCTAGGGGGCTGTGAGCCCAGACTCTTGAATTCTTTCCAGCCCTGAAAGGGGAAATGAAGTCATGGGGGTGGTGCGCCCAGATGACTGGGTTTGGGGTGCGGGAGGGTGTAGAATGGGGATTGTGCTGGGATGCAGGACCCTGGGTTCCCCCTACAGCCTGCTGGGCTCTGACCGTCTTCCCCACAGGTGGCACGTGCTGGACGCTTCGGCACCAAAGGCCTGGCCATCACCTTTGTGTCGGACGAGAATGATGCTAAGATCCTGAATGATGTCCAGGATCGCTTTGAGGTGAACATCAGCGAGCTTCCCGATGAGATCGACATCTCCTCCTACAGTGAGTCCTGCCAGGGTTGGGGGCAGGAGCGGGCAGTGCCAGGGTTGGGGGGGCACTGTGCAGCCTGGGTGGAGGGCCCTGTGCAGACATCGCTACTGTGCTCTGTAGGCTCCCTTAGTCCGTCTGGGGACAGATGGTGGCAGTGCACATCTGTCTGGGTTGAAGGCACCTGGCTATTGGGGAAAGGTGCAAGGGCTGGGAGCGGGGGTCTCAGGGAGGGGTGGAGGCCTGCCTGGCTGGAGGCTCTGGTGGGGGGCTGGGGGCTATCAGGCATCCCCACTAACCCCCCCTTCTTTTCTCTCTCTTGCAGTTGAGCAGACCCGATAAGGCCCCCACTGGAACGGCCCCGGCTCTTTTTTGATGGTCTTTAACCTCCCTGTCCCTGTTGGACCCCCAGCACCGAGAGGGGGGCACCCAGGCTGGGCAGGGGACAGAAGAGATTGCTCTCCCCCCACCCCCCCAGAGCTCCTGTTGTGGCAAACTGGGAATTTTGTTTTTATAGAAAAGAGAAATACTCCAAAA